ACCACTTCAGCTCTCGGAGACTCAGTTTCCTCATCTGAAAAGTGAAATCAATACAACCTGTTGTTCAAGGGTAATCCAGGGAAGGAGCAAAGTACGCTCTAAACATCAACTGAAAGTCCTTTCCCCCAGCATCCTACACGAGGCATGAAGAGAACCCAGCACCAGTTTCTGCTGGTGTCTTGCAGGCGCGTTTCTGCTGAGGAGGAGGGAACTGTGAGATACGGCCAGGTGACTGAGGGCTGGAGCCACTGAGCCCCACGCGGACAATGCCAGGGCTCCTCGTCTGGTCTGGTCCTCACAGGGGCTCTTGGTGAAGCCAGTTCATCTGCCTCAGGCCATAGCCAGTGTGAGATGGCCCCAGAGGCCCAACGTCGCTGGTCTCATTTCCCTACTCAGCCCATGGCCGGCCTCGCCTGCATGCTCACTGCATGTCCCACGCATAATTCCCAGACGTGCACTCATGCTGGTGTGTCCCACGTGCAGTTCCTGGAGCACCAGCTCCCCCAACCAAGGAGGCATGTTGGACAGCAAGATTTTGAAAGTGATATTTTTCTATGGAAAACATTAGGTCGATCTTCTACTTTGAAGTACATCCTCCTCCCACTGCAGTGCTTTATCAGTAATAACAAATTCTAGTGACGGCCCTGACAAAAGATCAAGTCAGCCCAGTGTGTCATACATGACACTGAGAACTGCAGTTTAAGTATCCCTTTTTCCTAGGACTCCATTCTAGGATCTTTCGTCCACAGTCTTTCTCTCAATTTGTGGTGGTGTTTTTAATTTGCTATTTGATGTAGTTCTAAGTAAAAAAAAAAAAAAAAAACTTAAAATTTTAAGTTACTAGCCTGAATTTTACTTTTACCTTTCATCTTCATATTTTGTAATATCTGTTTTCAATGCTAGTGTAAGCATGTTTAACTCGTACACAGAATCACTGAAATTGCATCGTACACTTGCATCTTGTAGCCCCTGCACGCGTATGCACGTCATTCCTACCGGAACAGAGGAGACTCTGCACAAGACTAGCTCACCCGTTTCCATCTCACTGCTTGATGCACGCGTGGTCAGCACGCTCTGCCTTGGGCTTACTGCTGGGGAGGACGGACTCGAAGGGAAAGGGGTGACGATTGCCCTGTCTTCCCCTCCCTTTCTGCGCCATCGTTTTCAGTGGCGGCTAACACAGGGAGGTGACACGAGTAAGAAAGGATACTACAGGTGCTGTGGGTATTCGTTGTTTCTTAGCTTCCAGTGCCTTCTTTCTGCATTTGAAGCAGATTCTGATTTAAATGGAAAGTGTGTTCTCTTGGGAGGGTCACCTCCCAACTTAACTCAACGACATAACTTGTGCTCACTTGTTCTTGCCGTGAGTCCCACTCATCTCCCACGTGTCCACCAAATTCTGCTCGTGGGCGTCATGTGAGTACTGCATGTGAACAGGGAGCATGACGCGGTGGACACTCACATTGAGCCCATCTCTGCTCATACCATGGTCCGTTCAGACTTCACTTACAAAACACAAGTTCAAAGATAACATTATTAAGAATTTCAAGACAGAGACAACAGAGATTTAAACCAAGCTCAGGGACCTTTAGAGCACGGGGCCCTGGGTGGCTCTCAGGTCACATGCCCATGAAGCCAGCCCCATCCCATGGCCTCTGCTTCTGCCACCCTGGACCCTACAGTCCCTGGACCCACCACGTTCCATCCTAACATGCACTGCTCCTCTGCCTGAAACAGGATCCCCTCCTCTTGGCCTGGGTGTCACCACTTCCTCTTCCCGTGATCTCAGCCCAGCCGTCCCATCCGCAGGGAAGCCCTCCCGGCCCTGCCTGACTGGCCAGAATGCTCCCACCACCAGGTAGCTTCACTGCACGTGTCACAGTTGCCATCCTTCACTTCGTCTGACTGCTGCTTCCCTCCCCCACTGGACGGCGGCAGCTGCGGCCAGGGCCAGCCTGCTCTAGTTCATCCCTGCTGTACCAGTGCCTGGCACATGATAAATATCTATGAGATGACTACAAATGAATGTTTCACAACCTGAACACAAGTGTTAGGTGAAGAGGTGAGATAAACGCGGGTGACATGAATTCTAGGGTTTGTTCAATTGAGGCTAACTCCTGTCTCAGTTTGAGTTGGTGAAACTAAGTGAGCCTTGCATTGCCCTGTCTGCTCGTCTGTCTTTCCTGCTAGGTAAGGAGTACTTGAGGGTAAGGCATACTTCGATTTTAAGGTACCCAAGTCATCTGTCTTTGTGTCTCCGGGCCCAGCACAGTGCCTGGGACTTAGCTCTCAAAAAGAAATTGTCCTATTTAATTAAACTGAGTTAAATTCAGATAGATGAAAATACGTTACCCTGAAGTTTATTATCTTGTCCTCACCTTGTGTCTCCTCTTCCCTGTCCTCTTTGCCCTTTCCCGCCCTCCTCTCCTTTTCTCTTGTTAAGGATTTCTGAGTCTTGAGAACTGCTTTAGTTATGATCAGATGTTTCCAACAGAAAATGACTCTCATCTATTTTAGGTTTAGCTCAACTCTTCAAAGCGAAATGGTCAGATTAGCCTTAGAATCACGGCAGTGGTTGGCACTCCAGAGGATGCCCCAGAAACAATCTGGGCACATTCGTTGGTAATATTCTTGCATTGGCATTGATCTTGGGGTAGGATCACAAGCCAGGCACTTCAGAAGTTCATCCATTCAACCCCAGCTAATTCAGAGCCGAAATTAAATTTGAGGATAAGATAAAATCTGTTCTCTTGCCCTGAGGCTGCAGAACTGGCCTCATCAGAACGGGCAGTGTAGAGTGGTCCCGAGCGACAGCAGATAGTGGGAACCAGCTTCCTGTTAGAACCTGGTCCACAGTCTGTGGTCCTGCCCATTATTCCACGACTGCATTTGAGAAATGGCCAGGAGGGGAGGTAAGGAACATGGAATGCTCATAATGAAATCGAAGATCGATGTAATAATAATAAAAGAAAAGCCTAAAGGTAATATTGGTATTGATTGAACATCTTAGAAAACATTGTTAGTAAGAGATCAGGGCATGTTTCCTGTATTAAAATGGGGGTTTCTCTCTTGAGTGAGACTTGAATTGGAATACAGAATGTTCCTGGGAGCAACCCCCAAGGGAACCCCTTAGAAGGGACGAGGCTGTTTGGAGATGCTGTGGTGGAGTGGAAAGCACTGATAGCCAGGAGTCAGCCGCACCTGCACTTAATACCCAACTTTGGCTCTGTGACCTTGAGCAAGTAATTAGCTTTCTGACCCTTCTTCTTTATTTAAATTTGTATAAATTGGTATAAAACATCTGCCTTGCAGGTTTGTTATGAAGGTCAAATGAGATTACCTGGGTAAAGGTACACACAGCTTGGTGTCTGGCCCAGAGCAGACAGGCCCACATGTTATCCCCTGTCCTCACAGTGTCCGCTCTTATGAACAGGGCAGGGCCTGGACTAGGGTGAGGCAAGCAAGTGTCTGGGTCACCCCACGAGTGAGGCCTCCTTAAGTTGTGCATCCTGGGTGCCTTGCTTGCCTTTCCCTGGTCAGGACAGTGCAGCTGGAGTAATGTCAGATCAGGACTGGAGCATCTCAGGGAAGATGCCCTACCCACCACCACCATCTCCTAGACCACCTTGCAGATGACACAGCTAAGACCTAGACAGGCAACATGATTTGATTTAAGCTAATCACTTAGTAAGTGGCAAACCTGGAATGTGAATTCAGGCCTCTGGGCTCTAAGCCTCTATTTTACTCCCCAGCAGGTTATAGCAGAACTCTTTCCTGCCCATGTCACATGGCATACACATATTCCTTTGCACTCTGAGTAGTCTCTCTGGATATCTACACATCGTCTCCCCAACAAGTCTGTAAACTCTCTGAACACAGGAAGAGGGTATGCCTCAAATTTTCAGCACTTCTCAAGACTACAGGTCTTGCTTGCAGTCAGGGTTCAAGAAAGAAATATCCATTGACTGAGAAAAAAAGATATTTTCATGGCCTTATAATTTTAATGCAGAGAAATAGTGATAATAAATTTAACCCAGCTGAAGGGGAGAAATGCATTAATTTCACAATATTTTCAGCTCCTTAAGAAGTTAGCTTTTCAGGCTCCACAGGGACTCTGGAGCTCACACAGACTCACCCCCACTGTTTCAAAAGAGAAAATTGCAACTCTGAGTAGTTCCTCTGTCCCCACTAGGAAGTGGGGGGTGGAGAGACATACTAGGGTGGGGGAGATGGAGGGAATTTGGCTGCAGCAATGTGGGGTGTTTAGACCAAGAGCAAAAGAAGAAGAGCAGTGCTACTCATAATTTAGTGAGCAAACAAATCACCTGCGGATCCTGTTAAAATGCATATTCTGGCCAGGATATCAGGCTGGGGCCTGGGAGTCTGCATTTCTAACAAGCTCCCAAATGATGCTGATGCTGCTGGTTCGTGAACCACACCTTCAAGTAGTGAGGATGTTGTCACTGCATATTCTGGCCAGGATATCAGGCTGGGGCCTGGGAGTCTGCATTTCTAACAAGCTCCCAGCTGATGCTGATGCTGCTGGTTCGTGAACCACACCTTCACGTAGTGAGGATGTTGTCATGGGACAAAAGATTGTGAAAAGCTTTGGCCTTTTACTCCTTTCTTCTGCAGTCATTTGTCTTTTTACTGTGGGAAAGGTCCTTAGTCCCAGACTAAGCAGAGAGCAAGTGGACCTGCTGGGAAAACTGGAAATCTGGGAAAATTAGGCAGTTCCCTGGCACAAGAATCCCACCTTTTTTTCACCAGGATACACTTGATGGGTGACATTTTCATGCATAAAACATTTCAATTTTACCACCCAGTGGAAAGGAACATGTTGGGCTGGATCTCTGGAGGCCTCCTCTAGTCTGACAAGTCTATGTGCATGGAGGAAATTGCATGGAGGGTTTGGGTTTGCAAATCTGGCCCGGCAGAAGCACTGTCTGCAGTCTGACAATTCTCAGGGCTCCCACTCACTGTCTTCCATCCGTCTACAGGGGAAATCTGTGCGTTCAAGATCCATGGCCAGGAGCTACCCTTTGAGGCCGTGGTGCTCAACAAGACATCCGGGGAGGGCCGGCTCCGGGCCAAGAGCCCCATCGACTGTGAGCTGCAGAAGGAGTACACATTCATCATCCAGGCCTATGACTGCGGCGCTGGGCCCCGGGAGACAGCCTGGAAGAAGTCACACAAGTGAGTGGCCTGACAGAGCTTGCTGGCTGTCCCCTCCAGCCCTTGTCCTCCTATCTCTGTCCACACACTGCTCTTCAGATATATTTACCCACTTGTCACACCACAGTGCTGCAGCCCTGCTCAACTCCTTGCCCGGTCTCCCAGCCCCTGCAGGCATTTGCACAGGCACTTTCTAGACCCAGAATGCTCTCCCCTCTCTTCTTCACTTGAAGATACTCCTGTTTAACTTTCAGGACTGAGCTCAGGTGTCACCTCTTCTGGGCAGCCTTTCCTAAGCTGGTCCATACACATAGACCTGGTCAGGACTTCTGCCTTGGGACCTTGGGACCACAGTCAGTGCCCTGGGAGGTGTGGGGGGATGGTGTGATTCTTTCTCTACCTCTAACTCTTCCTTCCTGTGTGTGGTCCCAGGGCTGTGGTCCACATCCAGGTGAAGGACATCAATGAGTTTGCTCCTGCCTTCAAAGAGCCAGCCTATAAGGCTGTGGTGACGGAGGGCCAGATCTACGACAGCATCCTGCAGGTGGAGGCCGTCGACGAGGACTGCTCCCCCCAGTATAGCCAGATCTGCAACTACGAAATTGTCACAACAGATGTGCCTTTTGCCATCGACAGAAATGGTAAGTGCCCTGAGAGGACCCCAATGGAGTCGGAAACAAATCTGCCATCCCACTCTGAAGGGCACATGAGGTTCTGAGTGTAGCTGGCAGGTGACGCTTCCCTTGCCACCCTTGCCACTCCATAACCCAGAACTCAGGCCTGCACTCGAGGGAATGGCCTTCCATGGTCAGCAGACTGCCAGGTCTGGCACTGCCCCAGGAAGCCTCGGAAACCTGCACACTGAATACAGTCTGCACAACTCACAATGCAGTACGTACATCTGGATATGGACGAGGGTTGGTTTTCCAGTAGTGTTTTCCAATTGTCATCCAGATGTGAGCCATGCCATCAGCTTGGCCATATCTGGGTCCCTTTCCTGTTTATGAGTTGTAATATTACCCCCCACACACAGAAACCTGCTTCCTTCTCCCAGACTAAGAGACACTAACAGAGAAGATAGGGATTATGAAACACTTTCCAAAACATAGAAGCATCAGTAATCTGTAAAGTTCTTGCCAATATCACTTTTGAGAATTTCAATCCTTGTGAGAATAAAGAATGAAAGAACCCTTCCACCGTACCTCAATCCCAGACTGAACTGGACTGGACACTGTGCTATAAAGCCACTGGGTATTTCCCCATCACCATGAATAAAAAACCCACCGTGGAGTAAACACCATAGCCCAAGACCCAATCAACTCAGCCCACTATGGCTGTAATTTTCAATACTCGATGATAATCAAATGACAGTTACTTGCAAAGTATATATTTTAATTATTACTGTGAGTGTGTGGGTGTCTGTATACTCTCCACACTTTGTTTCAAATAAGATTTAAGTACCAGACAAAGCTGCAAAAGTTGCAAAACCAGAAGTTGATCTACTGTGTAATTATTTATTGAGTGCCAGGTATGATGCTGGACACTTGGCATGGAGATAGAGTAGAACTCAAAACAGGCATGGGCCTATTTACCTTTTAGTGAAAAAATAAATAAAAATCAGGTGGCATCAAGGGTGAAGTTGGTGCACAAAGCATGCCATGAAACAGGGTTAGACAGCAAATCATCTCTGAGCTTCCTGGTGGCCAGTGTCTAGAGGGAAATAACATCTGTCACCTGCCTGCAAGCCCTCAGGAGAAGCCCAGTGCTTCTTGATGTTGAGACCAGGGAGAAACTTACTCTGTGATACAGTTTTCTGCATCCTGAGACCTGCAACAGATTCCACAGGGGACAGAAGCCAAGGAGACACCCTCATCCCTGACCTCAAGTTGCTTATGGTCTGCCTCAGAAGACAGAACTAACCTTGATAAAACAGAAAAATAGTAATGAGGTAATTTCCCTATAAAATGCCAAAACACGTGGAAATGACAATTACACATCTGGACAATTACATCACCAGATGCTAGTTGTTCAGGACACAAGACCAGTGCAAAGAAAGTAAAGGAGGAAATACTGGACTTTAATTAAGTTTGGTTCAGGACTAAGAAGAAGGTAATTTCAATTAGCAGAGCCTGTCAGAACCACTCCCTGACAGCATTGCCCATATGCCCTGTAGAATGGCTAGCCTGTCCCCACCACACACACACACACACACACACACACACACACCACTTCATAAAATACAAAACAACTGCTTTGCATTTTTCTCCTCTGGGTTTCTGTTCCCCTATCATCAGTTGTGTAGTCTATCCCTAGGAAAGCTTTGGAATTTGGGGGGTGACAAGTGTGTGGTAAATAACAAGACTAGACGAGTGGAGGGATCTGTGATCAGTGGTCAAGCTCTGCTTGACCTCCTGCCCTAGTTCTGGAGAGCCGCAGCCCAGTGAGAGATGAGATGCAAATTCTTTCATCGGAGGGTAAACTGCCCCAGTCATGAAGATAATTACTTACCTTGATGAACCATTTCGCTAACATATGCCAATTTATTTCCCTGGCTGTCTCATTAAAAGTGAGTAATGGGCTTTGCCAGGCCTGTGCCTCTGGCTTTGGTTTACAACACAGAGGGAGAGGAGAGCGTGTGCTCCTGGGGAGTGTGGGCCCTCAACGGAGAGGTTTACAAAAGCGATTCTCCAAGTAATGAAGGAAGGACCTAGGGGCAGATACAGATGCAGCTTCCCTTCAAATGAGCTTCCCAATGGCCCTTATCCATCACTTCTCCCGGTGACTTCACTGGCTCCTTGAGGAAGTTCTTTGCATGCACATCAGGGAAAGTACTGCTGAGTAGAGGTCCCACTCATTGAGGCCCAGGTTTCCCCCAGACCTCCCTCCGTCACCCCATGTCTTCAGGTAGGCAGCTCCTGACCCCTCCAACCTGCCAGGCTCTTTGCTTCCAGGGGAGGGAAGGGAGGCAGGGCAGCAGGGAGCAGAGGAGACACTACGTGGGGCAGCCAGACCTTCCTAACTAGACACTCAACCTCTTCCAGGTGGAGGCCCTCACCTTCTCCTGAATTTCTCTCCTGTGAAATCATGGTGCTAACAGTCCCTACCTTGTGGGGTGTGAGGCCTCAAGGAGAGTCAGTGCATGGGGATAGTATTTGTGGGTTCCTGGCATACAGGGAGTACTTGATTAATGGTGCCATGATTGTTAGACAATTACCCATGTGATTAGGACATGAGGTCTGCTCTCTTCCTATGCACTTCCAGGCTGAAATTATGAGCAGGTGACTGTGAGCTGGTGACATAACCTGCTTCTTGGAAGTTCTGGATCCATTTTGGGTGGATTACAGGCCCACATCTGCAGTCACTTGGCCAGTTCTCTGAGATAGTCAGTCTGAATCCTCATTTCCATTAAACAAATGGACAAACTGAATCCTAAAGCATAACTAGCTGCCTAACAACAATGTCACACTGGTGGCCAAGTGGGGACTGAAACCCAAGTCCTCTGAGTGTTGGCCCCAAGGCTTTTCTATCAGATGGCTCTTCCTCAATGATAATTGACAGGGATGCATGGTGATGGTATTTAAGTCCACAAACACAAAGTGTGGGGTGATCTCAGCAAGATGGCAAAGCAGGAGGTCCCAGCTTCATTTGCCCCACAAAGAATGACAATTGGACACCTATCCATGAACGAAAATAGCTCTAGGAGAGCTCAGGTCAGTTAAGATGCTACAGAAACAGTGGAAGAAAAAAGTGATAGTGACAGCACAAAAAGGATAGGAAGAACAGTTTCATTTTGCCCAGGCTGGCACTGCCCAGCACGGGAGGGAACTCTCTGGCTCATGAGTTCCCCTCACAGAGAAAAAGAGCAGGGTAAACAAGCAGCTTTCTCTGCCTTTCAGGGCACTACCCAAAGTACCCATTTCAGTGTCACCCAATCCAGATTGCTGGGAGGATCAGCATAGCAGAGATGTCTGGAGATGGCTGAGAACAAAAAAGGGTAGGGGTCATCAGTATCGGCCACGTGGTGGGAGCCACCACAATCCACTGGCCTGCTCTGCACAGGACCCCAGCCACTTTTGTCACTAAGGAAACCAACAACCAGCACAGCTTTGGAGAATGTCCACAGATTTCTCCATTGAGGAACCCACAGATTTTACTTCCACAATTTCCAGGTGCTTGAGTAACTACCCCCTCTGCAGAGCTGCCCCAGCTGCTGCTGCTGTGGGCACCCAAACCCAGGGCCCCAATGTAGCCACTGTGCATATGCTCATAAATGACCTGCGCTCCTGCTGCAAACCTGGGCCTCCCCACTTCGTGTACATCTGTGGCTAACCACTTAGCTATGAGCATGTAAGCAACTGGTCCCAACACCCGTTGCCAGGTCTCACAGCCAATCCATGCCCACAGCTGGCTCCTGCAGCCTTGGGCATGCTTGACACCAGTCCTGTCCCCTGCAATTGCACACATGCAAGTAGCCAAACCTGACTCCTGTCACCATTCCTCACCACTGGCCCCTGCAGCTATGCACATGCATATACCAGTTCTGGTCCCTACAGCTGTGCATGGGCATAGAGCTGCCAACCCCCATCATAGCTAGAGAGGAGAAGTCATTGCCTGGCTTCAAAGCTTCAAAGGGCAAACTAACTATCTTGTTAGGAGTTAATGCTGCTTCTGACTTTAAAAAGCCAATAATCATTTACCATTCTGAAAATCCTAGGGCCTATAAAAACTGTGCTAAATCTACTTTGCCTGTGCTCTATAAATAGTACAACAAAGCCTGGATGACAGTACATCTGTTTACAGCATTGTTTACTGAACATTTTAAGCCCACTGTTGAGACCTACTGCTCAGAAATAAGATTCCTTTAAAAATATTACTGCTCATTGGCAATGCATCCAGTCACCTAAGAACTCTGATGGAGACATACAAGGAGATTAATGTTGTATTCATGCCTGTTAACAAAACACCTATTCTGCAGCCCATGGATCAAGGAGTAATTTCAACTTTCAAGTCTTATTATTTAAGAAATATATTTTGTAATGCTATAGCCACCATAGATCATAGTGATTCCTCTGATGAATCTTGGCAAAATAAATTGAAAACCTTCTAGAAAGGATTTACCATTCTAGATGCCATTAAGAACATTCATGATCCATAGGAGGAGGTGAAAATATCAACATTAACAGAAGTTTGGAAGAAGTTGATTCCAAACCTCATAGATGACTTTGAGAGGTTCAAGATTTCAGCAGAGGAAGTAATCACAGATGTGGTAGAAACAGCAAAAGAACTATAATTTAGAAGTGCATCCTGAAGATGTGACTGAATTGCTCCAATCTTACAATAAACCTTCAACAAATGAGGAGTAGCTTTTTATGGATGAGCAAAGAAAGTGGTTTCTTGGGGTGGAATCTACTCCTGGTGAAGATGCTGTGAACATTGTTGAAATGACAACAAAGGATTTAGAATATTACATAAACTTAGTTGATAAAGAAGAAGCAGGAGTTGAGAGGATTGAATCCAATTTTCAAAGAAATTCTACTGCGGGTAAAATGCTATCAAAGAGCATCACATACTGCAAAGAAATCTTTTGTGCAAAAAAGAGTAAATCAATGTGCCAATTCTCTTGTTGTCTTATTTTTGAAAA